TCTGCATATGTGTCTAAGTTAAATTATAACGAACTTGTAAGTTACAAAAGAAAATTGATTGAAAATATTTTTTCAGAAAAAATAACAAACCAAGCAGCCGTAAAGTAAATAAAAATGTGAATGTGTTTTATGTTCATAATAATGTACCTTCCAAATAAAGGTGAAAAATGTAGTGAAACATTATTGAACACTACTAATTTTCACTCTTTCGAACTGTTCCTTGGTGCTTAATCTTTCAACCGACAGTATGGAACAGTTGGCTTCACGTTGGACTAATCCTATGAAAAATAATTAAATTTCTGAAAAATGTTTGGTTTGAGTTCTGCCATGTGATAATAAACCAATTCTATGAACGTAGATGAATACGAAGATGCTGTCGGTACTTAGCTAGTTGTTGAGTGAAAACAGCCTAGAGACTGATGTTTCAATTTTATGATTATTCAGATATCGTGAGATGCGGTCTGGTGTGATGTAGGTTTCAGAAAAACATTTTCTTTATCGTGCCAATGTTTCGATCTTTATTGAGATCATCTTCAGGGCCTGGGATTTATTAACATTGTTTAAATTTTACAAATGTATGTACGATGTGGAAAAAATGAATTTATACAATGCTAGAAAGTTTTAGGTTTAATCAGAGTGGCGACACGCAAGAATGGCACAATTACACAAAAGACAAACACTTTGAGCCCTGAAGATGATCTCAATTGGCACGACAAAGAAAATGTTTTTCTGAAACCTACATCACACCAGACCGCATCTCACGATTTCTGAATAATTATCGATTAATGGTCACTAATCACCACACATTTAATCAGAGTATTTGTTCTTACTCAAAGTGTTTGGTTTCTGTGTAGATGTGTTATTCTTGTGTGTCGTGTTAAGATTGCCAGTGAGATAATAATTTAATACTTTGATTGAATATAAAACTTTCTAGCATTGTATAAATTCATTTTTTTCACATCCAACATGTATATGTAAAATTTAAACAATGCTTACAAATCCCAGGCCCTGAAGATGATCTCAATAAAGATCGAAACGTTGGCACGATAAAGAAAATTATTTTCTAAAACCTACGTCATACAAGACCGCATCTCATGTTCTTCAAATAATCATTAACTAACAGTCACTAAACACCACACACTAAAAAGTTGAAATTTTGAATTTTTTACAATGTTGAAATTACTTCTTTACCGTTGAGATTTGGGCAGGGATTCATAGAGATTTTTTGTTGTGTATGGTGCGTAGAACACATCCTGAAATTTTCGATACTTATCGCCAGTGACACTTTTTGCCCATTCATTACTTGCGTAATTACTTATTTATTAATCCTTACTTTCTCTTAATGGTGAATCGTTTTATGCAGCTGCAGACATTTATTATTAATAGAGCTTTGAGCCGCTTCGAACTATGGCTGCCGGTTCGCCAGTATGCGCGATAAAACTAATTGACGGTATCTCTGGCCAGCTGAGTAATTAATAATAAATTGTTCTAACTAGTTAAAGACGCAGCCTTCAGAAACCAGGCTGAACTTTTAAATGAATCAAACGTAAATAGAGAAAATGTGAGAATATCCTTGTGACGAATTTGACTCAAAAACTATAGCAAAAACACTTTCCTCCATGGGTTTGTAATTTTTTACCGTTATACCTTAATGTTATTCGGAGAAGACTATATAAACAATACATTTTAAATCATACCGGAAATATAAATACAACCTTGCTAAGTTTTTTTTTTTTTTATTGACTCATTACCATCACTATTACCATTGTTTTGTCCGTGTGTATTAACTCATCACAAGCGTGTGAAACACGCACCATTCTTATTTTTATGTGCGCATCGGTTTATGCACGAACTTTCGAAGAATCGGCAATAAAAAAAATTAAATCCAAGGTTTAGCTACGCTCCTTTGAGCAAATCTAACAATACATCTTTGTGAACACATTCCGCGTAGGCACAACGATGACGGAATTTGTTTCCTTCATTAAATACCATAATTTTTTATTTTCAAAATCGTAATCAACTCTACAACTGTTATTACAAACACGGACGCCAATTGTATTTTTATTTTTTTTTTAGACTCACTCTAATCTTGGGAGACCTAATAATAAACCTCAGCTCATTTTGTATAGAAAAAATGGTGGGTAACAAAAGATATTTGTTGTATATAATTATTTCATTAAATTATTTAAATTTACTTTTTGCCGATCTATACTTAAACAAAGGTTTATTTATTTATTTTTTTAATATGTTTAGCATAATGCATGTTAAAAAAGCTATTTTTTTCTCATTGAATTCTCGAACGAACAAAAACACTACCACGCAATAGCATTTATTGATAAACAATTTACGACCGCTCCCTTTAGATTTTAAATTTTTATAATGCGATATTTTACTGATTGGTCTGCTAGGTGATATATCTATAATTTGGTCGTTACCGATCATGTTTATACAATAAGGAGAGGAAAATAAGAATTCTTATATTTACTTACCTCTATTTGCACCTGTTTCTTGCTTGGGAGAAAACTGATTCATTATCCCGTGACAGGTCCTCCATTTACGCTCTCGGTGTGCTCTTCTTGGATTGATACCGCGAGCAGAAGCGTCTGGGAAAAATGGTGGTTGTTACTTGGCACCCTAAGGACGAGGCGGTTAAGACGTCCCAACCTCCCGATTTAACTACCGCAATCCGGCCCTGTGACGCTAAAAATGTATTGAAAACATTACTAAACGAAGGTAGCAGCGTCGGTTGACCGGATCGGCAGAGAAGCTTTAACGTATAAAGAGTATTGTCGAATGGTGGCCTTGGAGGATCTGCCCCTACAAGTGGGTCATCCTCATCCTATTAAGTCCATGCGAGGTTGAAACTCGTGCACTTTCTTTTGGGTCGAAGTCCGCGTATGTTTCCGGCATGTGGAGGGTTGCTTGATGTATCCCTCCTAATTGAAGGTTGCAATTCCTTGGCTCTGCATAGAGGTCGTTTGGGGATGCCAAGGGATATGAGAATCGCAGCATATATTTTGGTCCTGTATTCCGAATCCTGAAGGAAACAGGGTTGTTTTATGTTCATAGTGCTGATATTGTTGGGTTCCCTAGTGTGTGTTGTAAGTGAATGTATTAATCGGCGTGATATAGTATAGAGGGCCGAAGGCGGAATAATGAGTACATCGACCATCAATAAGGATAGTTATATAATGTGTGTAAACCGAATTTCAGACTAATCCAGCGCAATCCTATCCCCTGAAGCTAAAAATGCAATAAAAAAATACGATTAAAAAAAAGTGGTAGCGTCGGTGGGCCTGATCAGCAGAGAAGCTCTCAAGAGCACTGTTGAAAGATCTGACAAGAATAGAATAGTAGAAAAGGGTCATCATCCCACGATCAAGTATAGGCCATGTGAGGTGAATAGCTTTTACAACATTCGGTTTTAATAATAACCCAACTGCTAACGCCATCTTGTTCAGCATTGAAGTAGTGAATCAATCGATTGAATATTGGTGTCATATACTTTAACCTGTTGATTAATGATACATTTACTTCAGGGCGAAAGCCTCCGTATGCGTCCATCGCAGAAAATGAAAGAAATGTTGCTCGATTTGTCCAACTAATTGAGGGGTGCAATTCCTTGGCTCCATATGGAGAGCTTTTGGGAATGCTCATATTTGGTTCCCTGTTCCGATTCTTGGAGGAAGCAGTGTTGTTTTATGCATATAGTGCTGATATTGTTGTGTCAGCTAGTGTGTGCAGATAGTGAATGTATTTATTGGCGTGATAAAGTGTAGAGGTGTTAGGATAGTTGTATGATATGTGTAAGGGGTAATGGAGGCATATCGACTAATCCACCACTCTAGCTGTCAATGAGTGACAGGTTTGCAAATAAGTAAGGCTGTATTTATTATTGTAGTGAATTTATTGTAAGAATGTATTTTAAAAAATGAATAGATTCAGAATCTAATTGCGTTGGGGCTGAAATGACCAAGCTATTAGTAGGCTTTGGAGCCTAACCTCGGCTGGACTGATAAGACCGAGATATGATCCTGGAGAATAGAGCACGGCGGAGATCTGGTTCCCCTATCCCGATTCTTGAAGGAAACAGGGTTGTTTTATTGTATATAGTAATGAACGTTAATTCCCTTGCATGGGTGTGAGTAAATGTATTTTTTAGCGTGAATGTGTACTGGTAGACATTCGATGGTGGAATATTGATTACCACTTAATTACGTTAGTTATATAATTAGTGTAAAGGGTGGTGGTCGAATGTTGAATAGCCCACCATCCTGAGTGAATATAAATAAGAAAGATTGTATTTAAAAGTGAGTGAGGTATTGAAGGGTTTGCTTTTACGAACTGCATGCTTTAGCGGATGAAATGTCCTAGCTTTTGGGTAACCCCAGGTGCACACAACCTCGGCGATAGGCGGAAGTGATTCAACTCTATATAAGCGTGTGCAGATTTGAGCTTATATAAATCAGTAATCAGTAATCAATCATTCTTATTACTCCTTGGATTATCTTATGCTTGTGGCTTTTTAGCCTGTCGTCTTCTTTGTATCTAAAATTTTATAAGCCTCCTTAGCCATACCCACTCACTAATATCTTCAGCCTGTGTTTTTCTCATGGTTAAACAATTATTTTTCTTATCTTGCACGGAGGGCCAGCTAATTTCTCAGCTTCTTCAATATTTTTCTAGGTGAGGTCGGAAAATAAAACAAACAACCAGAATGTAAAATGTTAATAATTTATTTATTACAAAACATCGTGCTAATAACTTATTTATTCGTTATGTATATACGATACATAAATATATATAAATCTATCTGCTTATTTATACATGTTTTATATATATTTATATATCTCCGGATTTTGTAAATAAAATAAATATGCATGATAAACATAGGAACACAATAACTAATATTTAATTATGTTTATTAACAATATTCTTTTAATTTATCTTTTTTTATTTTTTTTATATTTACATTATTATACTAGACAATTATATTACACCAAATTATATAATTTTATCATCATACATATATATATGTATATTTTCATAGCAGTATATACAAATAAACAATTTTCTCAGTGAATCCTCCCTAGAGAATAAATTAGTACATATCACAAGTCTTAAATAAAACTAAAATATATGTATGCATATATGTATAAAATAGAACATCGTACACGTTTTCGGATCCTGCCGGATGTAAGTCGTGACTTTTAAACTTGTGGTCAACTTTTAAACAGGTGGAGTCGCGCACAACACATCAGCCCTAATATAATACAAAAATCGTAGCCATTCACGTACAAAACACCTTTCAAAATTAAGTCCTATGTACATAAAATATTCGGGAACCGCACTTTTTGTTTTTTTGGGAAGAATCTTCTTTCTTTTACAATAAATCGACGGTTGTACTTTTATTGTGATGTGATGTGAATGTGTATAATCGTCATGAACCCTGTGCAATTTTTGGTTTTCGAACGTGCGCTTGTATGGCCGTAATACCACCAGAGAACTATTTTGTTCAGCTACCCAGATTATTTTTTAAAAAAGGTTGAAACTGACCATTTTATAAAAATTAGGCAAGAAAACTGTGTCTAATTTTTCACTGTTTAACCTCATTTTCAATTCACATATTTTTTTAAATATTTAAATGTCATTTAATTTAAAAACAATTATTATAATAATTATATTCATTAATTTCAATGAGCTATGTAACGTATCTTGTTATTTTTGTAGGGTTTGTTCATGCCGGCTACAATGCCCAGTCCTTCCGGTTGTTAACGGCATACGAGCGCTTAACAATTGTAATTTTTCTTTACTACCCGATTGTAATCAAGTCCTTTGAAAGTATTGCACTTTTATCCCATATAAAATTTATTTAAAAATGTTTCACTTTTCCCGAAGATTTGACGAAAGGGAGCGTTTTAGGAGGAACACTCAAGGGGCGAAGGGCTGAGGTAGTGCTGAGGGCTGCCGTGTGACGCCATGCCGTGGTGGTAGGGCTCCAACCCCGAGCCGGGGTCCATTTTGTCCTTGCCACCCCCAGGGCCACCCCCTTCCTGCTTTAGGACCATCCGTCTCCACTTGGCCCGTGCGTTTTGGAACCACACCTGAACAAAGAAAAAATATTAGTCAAATAAACTGGGAAGAAAATTTTGAAAAACACATTACATATAAAACATGAAAAAATTTCAGGATTGAAAAATATACTTGAAAATTTATTTCAATATAGGCCAAATACTTTGGGAAATAATAACAAACATCGAATTTTTCATACCAAATTCCCTAACTTTTATGGACACAAAAGGCCTTCTCACGGGGTTGTAACCCCTTCCACACAGTTGAATATTTTTCTAAAAGTGTAAAATAGAATAGCCAACCTATTCCAACATAATCCGTATCGTAAGGAACTATTTAAAATCTTTGCTCACTTATCATTCCATCACAAAATAATTTTTTTATGAACCAGTTGGTGAAATATAATTTAGAAGGGGCATAACGGCTTGGACGTAACTAGATATGGCATAGGCAAAATTTTACCATATTTATACCATTATATTCCACATGCATATGGCAATATCGGACAGCAATTTTATTTTTCTAGACATACATCCGTCATAAAATAATTTAATGGATTATTCCGTAATAATAATTAATGGAAGGGCCAAGAATTCTCAGGAGTGTCCATTCCAATCTTTTTCAAAAGATACTGTAACATAGAATGTTTGCTTTTTATGCCATGTATTCCGCAATAATTGGGAAAAAAGTTTGTTTTTTAACAGACATCCTTCACACAAAAAATTGAAGGGCTATCAATTCTCAAAAGTGTGCACCCTTTCAATCATGCCAATCTTTTCCAAAAGTTGCAATAACATAAAAACATCTGCTTTTAAAACCATACATTTCGTAATATTGGGAAAAATGTTGGTTTTTTAACAGACATCCTTCACAAAAAAAATTGAAGGGCCATCAATTCTCAGAAGTGTGCACCCTTCCAATCATGCCAATCTTTTCCAAAAATTGCAATAATATAAAAACATCTGCTTTTAATACCATACATTCCGTAATATTGGGAAAAAAGTTTGTTTTTAAACAGACATCACTCACAACAATTGTAAAAGCCGTCAATTTGCTGGGGGTGTCAGCCAGCACCAATCAGTTGAAAGTCACCCGAAAGATAAAACTAGATGCAATTCTGGTTTATTTATACCATTATATTTATTTGGTATTATTGAAAAAAACTGTAAAATAGATATTTCTTGATTTTTTATTTGTTGGATATGGATGAGAATCTGGATTATAAAAACTTCGTAAGCATTGCGAGGCGCTTTCCGCCTCCTGAGTACATTTTTGAGTGTCAACAGACGACTAAAACTTGTAAAATAGACTTCACAAAGTTTAAATTTAGTTGACATATTTAATTTGGTGTACAAACGACTAAAGTCCGCTCTAAACTGAAGAGCTATTAATTCTCAGGGCACTTACAATCAGATGAACCTCTTTTTAAAGGGAAACTACATAAAATTCCAATATGTCAAATTCGATAAAAATGCTGATAACGACTTGTTTAAAGAATCAGGCACCCTCGTCATATCGGCCGTACATAATTATTTTTTAATGAAGTTGAGAAGTACTTTTTACTGTTTAAATGATTTATGTCGGTCTATTGATGTAGTTCAGAATCTCTATTAAAGTAATACAGCACTCAACAAGAATCACATTATACCAGACATTAAATTTGTTTTGTCCAAGGAAGTCAATAGTTATAGTTGTCGTATCGATATGTCTGCTGAGCCAACTGACATCTATCGTCGAAAATCGTGTTATTCGGTGTCTACCGCGTGAATGCGGGACTGACAATGTACCCACAGACTGTTTTCATAGATCAGGCGGACAAGGTGAGCGTACACCTGAAATGCAGTCACCGCAGGCATTATTCCTGCGCTTTCACCATTCATCCCGTGGAAACCTTCCTGAGGGAAAACGATTGCTTTCTAGTTTTCACTGCAAATATTTGCCAACGGGAGTTTTTTCCTGTTATTCCTGTGCCCATTTAGACTGCAGAAAAAAACATCTCAAATCAGTCGTAATAATTAGAAAATGTAAAAATATCGATAGTAGTAATCTTCGATCAATTTTTATGCCGCTTTGATCCCAGGCAGGTTAGTTATGGATGGAAGCTGGGGAACTCAATCTTCAAATCTATTTCGACCGCGATAATTGTAGGCCCACTAAACGGGTCATCGAGCCCACAAGGAGTAAACGATGGAGACGCGTCATTTCACGCCCCAGGGCTCTTTTTTCCTTGGAAAACGATCCGTCTCCATTTGGCGGCGGGTCACCTGCATCCTAATTACCGGAGGAAGTGGATCCACTAAATCCAACATCGGCCTGAAACAAACTGGGCGCGATCCATCTTGCTTTCTTCCTTTACGACTTAAAAAGTATACGGGTTAAAAATACACGAGGTTCTAAATTTGTCTCCATCCCCTTTTTTTTACCAATTACACGGCTTTTACTCCTCATTTCTAATCACCGATACTGATAGACGCCCTCATAAAAAATCCATATTTTTGTTAAAAAAAAACATCAACATCCAATCCTATTTACATAAATTAGTTATGTGTGGTGATTAGTGAACGATAATCGATAATTATTCAGAAATCGTGTGATGCGGTCTGGTGTGATGTAGGTTCCACATCACTTTTCCACATCCTAAATGTATTTGTTGAATGTAAACAATGTTTGTAAGTCCCAGGCCCTGAAGATGATCTCAATAAAGATCGAAACGTTGGCACGATAAAGAAAATGTTTTTCTGAAACCTACATCACACCAGACAGCATCTCACGATTTCTGAATAATTAGTAAATTAGTTAGTTGAATGTGTTAATAAAAACCGAAAAAATATGTAAAAGTAACAATATACTTTCCATATCACTAGTTTTTTAAATACCCTCGTATTTAATTATTAATTCGATACTTTGGACACACTTCGTATTGTTTTTGAAGTCCATATATAAAAACCATTATATTTAGCGTTATTAAAAATTATACGATCGAAGCATCAGACCTGCCTAAGAATTTACAAAGTCATGAAGAAGAACGTGTGTTTTCTCTTCGTTATTCTCAGCATTTGAAGATTTCTTTGATAAAATTTTCACGAGGGATGTTTTTAATAAATGTCCCCTTTCTAGAAATAAAGGAAAGGCAATGGTACGTTTAAAACTTAACGAACGCCTTGTCTTCCTTCTCGTAGCCTTTAAAAATGGATAGGTGGTAAAAAGGGAATCTGGAATGACACCGGAAGACGGTTGCCTTTGTTGCAAGGGCCCTTTGCGCGAATAACGGCCCTTTTAAAAGACGGGGGTTGCGGAAGGGCTCTGTTTGAACAAGTTTCCCTGACTTGCAAACAAGGGAGTGTTTGTACATCCTGAAGGAGCTGGCAAACAACTCTTTACACGAGGCCCACCCGAGTGAAAGAATTTAATGGGAGGGTGGAGGAAAAAGATAAATTAATTATTTTTCGCGGAAGGGGGAAGAGATGAGGGATCGATGCTGATGAACGTCCCTGAGGAAAATCCGAAACATTGTTTTATATTAATTTTTTTAATAATCACCTTCAGGGATAAAGATAATAAACAAAATTTATTTTATATTGCCCTTTGTTAGCCACAATTTTAACAATGCTCTTGTTGATTTGCACAAAAAGTAGGAAAATTAGGGTAAATATTGAACCTTCTCACTATTTCAATCCATCTATTATCCTGCTTGTTGTAGAAAGGAGGGAATATTGAAAATCAAATGGTGAATGGAAATTACATACATCATAAATGATATGAAGATAAATAAGAATAAAAATATTAATTATTTCTTGTTTTAAATTATATGTCGAGTTTTATTAAACAAAGCAGGAAAAAACAAAAAGTAAATTTCGTTTAATTTATATCTACTTTTTAAACTTTTAACAGCAAGTTGATGTTAAAAACTTAATAGCCATTAAAAATTTTAAATATTTTTATTTTAAGGAACATTAAAGAAAGTCAGTTATATATTATGGGATCAGAAATGAGGCATGTTTGATTAAAAATTGCGGCGTTGGTTAATTTGTGTTTTTTACAATCTATCTATCTTAATCTCTCTCTTTATCTTTCCCGTTCTTTGTACTGTTTTTTCGACTTTCTGACACTAATTTTTGTTTCTTCACCTACCTCCCTTTTTTCTTTCTGTACCTCCATTTGCAGTTACCTTTGTCTTACCTATGTTCACCTCACTCACTCTCTTTTATACTATCTCTCTCTTTCTCTCTCCTCTCTCTCCTCTNCACACACACACACACACACACACACACACACACACACACACACACACACACACAAATTTTCCCTTCCTTTTTCGCCTCCTGAATTCCTCTCTCTCATTCTCCGTTCATGTCACTCTCTCCATCTATCTATATTTTCTACTTATATTTAACTACTTCTTCTACTTTTAATAAAATATTGATACATCTACAATTTAATAATAAAAATGAGCATTAAATATAATAAAAAAAGCGTTTTTATAAAGTAAAAAATATTACAGTACTTTATAAAATTGTGATTTTATATTCAAAAGTCCGTGCTGAAATCTCACTTATGGTAAAAATTAAGATCGAAGATAAAGAGAAAAAATAATAAATTAGATAATTAAACATTTATTTCATTGTTGTAACTGAAACAGAGATAAATGGGCGTTATTTTTGAATTTCCGTCGTGTCCGGCTCCGCATTTTGAAAAATTTTACGGCAATTTGTCCCCCGGGTCGGATGACGGATGACCGTCGTAAGGATTAAGAGCGGTTGTACGTTTAAAAGGGAGAAATATCGACGACGTTACACTTACATGACAGTGTGGCATACGAGGAACCGGAATCGGGTCGGCGATTTATATCTGACCGTGTACAGGAAAAGGGATTCGCCTTAATCTTTTAATAAAGGGGATTTGTCTGACGACTGTGCCTTCGTTAGACAAAGCGAAACGCCCCAAGGCATCGCTCACCGTCAAGGCGACATTATAAACAAACAGGCTCTTTCGAAAACTCTGAGCAATTTGGATTAAACGGATATCTTTAATT